GCCCTCAGTCACCCACCCCCAAGGGCCTCTCCCCTCCACCAGGGTAACCAGTTCAACATGAGGAAACAGAAGATGCAGAGAACATAAAACTTAGAGAATCTGAGGAGGACAAAGATGTAGGGAGGGTGGAGATTGCGAAACTGTCACAAGGCAATAGGGCATAAAGTCTGGAAAGAATCTGGGCTTTAGAGTTAGACAGACCTGGGCTCAAATCTGAGTTCCCATGTGCCCGTATATAACCTTGGGCAGTAGAATCTCTTTAATCCAATTTTTTCATCTGTTCAACAGGAGTCCAGGATAACTGTAACCCCACCAGGTTGTTGATGGATTAAATAAGGTAATATATGTATGAAAAAGTATCTGGCACATGGTATGTACTCAAAAACAGTTGCTTTATCTTCCTTCTTGAAAATCTCCATGGACAGAGATTTCACTTTCCCCTCAGAAACCTCTCCATAACAAGAGGGTCTTCCATATGTCCAATTAGAGTTGCTCATGTTTTGCTTCGCTTCCTGTTACTTGGCACTTTGTGGGACAGAGAGCTCTCAGCAGCCTTTTAAGAAACTCCCTCACACACTTGAAGAAAATACTTTTGAGTTTTTGCTTAATAACAACCAATCCTACCTTCAGTTTATAAAAGGTATTATAAGGAAACGGGATCTGGAAAAGGCCTGAGCTCAGAGTTAGGACTGTTCACAGTATGAGACAAAAATGGTTAAAAGCAACCCAAATACTTTATGGGGTCTGATGGGCACTTTGTAGTGAATATTTACTTTGTGCCAAGCATTGTGTTATTTGCTTTAAATGCAGTTAAATGTTGCAGGAACCCTATGAGGCAGTTATTATTGCCACACTTTTTGTTTGCTGAATTTCCAGTGTGCAACTGGGGCTAAAGTTCACATAGCCAGTAAGGTGGCAGGGCTGAAGACAGGGCACATGTCTGTATCTGGACAAAGATGTAGTTCTCTGGTCTGTGAGGAAACAGAGCCTCAGGCTCCACAGTAAATAGGAATTACCTGAGATGTGGGGATTAGCTTTGGGAATGTCTCAACTGGTAACGAATATGAAATAATGGAAAAATCTATCCAAGAAGGCTATGCAGTGTCTCTTCCTGAGTACTCCACCACATGGCACTCCTTTGAGAGTATGAACACTTAACACCCCGAAAAGGCTGATTCCTGCTATCTTTGTGGTTATGCGTGACAATTTTCTACAATTCAGCCATGTATTTTTGGGAGGATGTTGGTAATCCTTTAGAGAGGGTGCTGCTTGAAAAGTAGAAGCATGTGCTGTTTTACAAGCAATAGGTGAGAAATGTGTTCACCCACTGAATATACAAATTAGAATTTTCTTTAGAACAAGCTGAAAAGTACCATGTGTTCATTATCAAAATGAGATGGAAGCAGGTGTGTACATTGGTTATCTTGTAGACAGAGGGGTCTAAGGAGTCTTTCTGGGTATTAGTAAAGTTTCTCCCCTAGGACTAGGGCAATACCCTAACTGTCACAGCTCAATTGTGTCCTTGTACAGAGAGATAGCTCTTGTTTTCACTTAAAGGCAGTCTTTACCCTGGGACCGAGGCAAAGCTTATACCTGAATTAAGCAAATGAACACTTACAAGTAAGGGCCAAAGTATGTCAGCAAGTGGTGAAGGGTTAGCACATATAGTAGAATAAAAAAAAGAACGATGAAGATTCCTAGCACTGTGATTGCTACATGCAACTCAGGGGCCTCACTGGTGGTGAAATAAGCTAATGCTCCTATGATAAGGCCCTGTAATAAAAGAAACAGGATTGTTTTATGCACAGAGGCTATTAAAACAAAACAAAATCATACACCATCAGAATATGTCTGATTATATTGCAATTGCTGGTATTGTTTTGCACATACATTTTATTTTTTAAGTTTCTTACATTTTTAAGAAGTGAAATAACAAATGCAAATAATAAAAATGCACACTGTGTAGAAGGATAAAAAATAACACCAGTTTTTTTTCTTCTCTCTCAATCCAACCCTAGTTTATCTCCTTACAAGTAACCACTGTTTATCAAATCCACATGAGGGTGGGCCTATGCTTATAACTTCTAAGGGAAGACATTTTTTTCCTCTACCTAGTCTAGGCCCAGAAGAAAATCTTCCTTGCTAACTCCCTTTATGAGTAGATAGATTTTGTTCTCCCTAAGTTATTCATAAACACAAGTATCTGGCATATGTGACAATTATTCTTCCTGTTATATGATGATAAACTGGTTATTCTGATAAAAAAAAGTAACCACATCAACAGTGTATACTTCATACTGGAAAGATGTATATACAGGTAAAATATGTACATATTTTTTATGTCTATAAAGGTATATAAGTACAAAAGACCATAAGTATATGTAATACATATATATAGTGATTTTGGTAGAAAGAGTGAGGCAGAGCCCCAGCTTGCTTGCTTTCCAAACACCTGCTTGTTATCCCTAACATCATTCATTGGGAAACACCAGTATTTTCCCAACCTTTATCATTTACTACATTCTAAAATGTATTCCGGTCCCTTTTGAGACTGCTGATTTCTTCTCTAGTACTTTTGAAATAACAGGCAGTTCATTTTATATTGTATTATTGTCCGACCTAATTTCCCTTTCAGCATTCATTCGCAGACTGTTTATATTTCCCATGTTTGTCTTGGTCAAGTTCCCCCAAACTAAGCCTGACATATTTTTAATTGGGATTTCATTTAACTTATAATTTGGAAAGATTTTAGTCTTACTATTCAAGAAGAACGTATGTCTTTCCAGTTATTGTAGTGGTTTTTAAATAGCTTTCAGTAGAGTTTTAAAGTCTCCTTTATATAGGTCTTTCAAATAAATTTAATCTTTTATATTTTGTCTTGATTTGTTGTAAAGAGAAATATTTTCTTCTATTTTAAGTACTTGTTTGCTCACGTACACTAATGAATTAGTAGAAATTATCTTGTTCTAAAGTTTCTTGGTTGATTTAGAGTGCTTAAGATATACCATCATATCAGCTGAAAGAATTGATTTATTTGTCTCTTTTCAAATGTTCATTTCTTTTTCTTGTCTAATTGTGATGCCTAATAGTCCAGAAAAATATTGAATAACAGCATTGATAGTGGGCATCATCTTTGTTCCTCATTTTAATGGAAATATTTCTGATGTTTAATAATTTATGACACTGACTTTTGAGTTATTTTTATAATGTCAGTGAAAGTCTCTGTTCTTATTTTACTCTTTCCTCCCCCTCTTCCTTTTCTCCCTCTTCTTCCTCTCTTCGCAATCAGAGATGAATGCTGAATTTTGTCAAATATGTTCTTTACACTGTTTGATATAATCTTTTAATTTTTTCTCCTTTTACTTATAATATAGTGGATTAGTTTAGTTTAATAGAGTCCCGATAGGGAATCATCCTTACATTTCTTCTTCTTGGTGTATTTTTTTAAGTACTGATACATATTTTCTGCTAATGTATTAATACTTGCAGCTTTGATGCAGTAAGATTTCTATGTCATTTTCTTTTTCTGAACTTGGTTAGGTTTTATATTAGTGTTATACTGACTTTGTAAAAATAGTTTACAAGTATTTCTTCATTCTCAATGAAAAAGTTTGAGTAGTATCAGAATTATGTCCTATTGAAAGTTAACCTTTAAAAAATGTGGGCTTAATACATTTTGAAAGAGACTCATTTGATAAGTTCTCATATTCTTCTGTGTTCATATTGGTCTGTTCAGGTTTTTGGTAATTTACAATTTACATTTTTCTAGAAAATCAGCTATTTCCGATTATCCGAATTCACTTGTTTTCCAAAGTCCTCTTGTGGATCCTTTCAGTTTCATCAGTGTTTGTGATTATTTTCCTTTTCTGGTTAATAACAATGTCCTCTCCCTGTTTTTCCCCATTACAGTGGCCAGTGGTTTATCAGTTTTATTGGTCAAGTCTGTTATTTTTGTTTGCTAATTTACACATTTCTGCGGTTACCTTCATTGCTTCTCTAATTGGTAAAACCTGAGAAATATAAAATTAAGGCGGGGGAAAAAAGCCAAATTTGGTAGTAAGGGTTGACTGTGTGCGAGAGCAAAGGAAGAGAGAAAGGAGAGGTGAGGCAAACAAAGGCTTCGCCCCGGGCATCAGGGAAGCCTTCCCCAGGTGGCCCCCGGGAACCACTCCCTGCGTCCGCCCGGCCGGGTCTCCAGCCTCGGGATCTTCAGCCCTCCCGTGGGCGAGAGGAAGAACAAAAACTGCTTGAAGCTGTCCCTGAGTTTGAGGGGGACTTTGGCCCGGCCCTCCGCACGCTTTTGGATGGCCGCTTTCTCCTGTGCGCTCGAGGGGTACTTGTGCAATGGGAGCCCGCTTTGGGGGTCCTGTGGGAGTCCTCGAGGCGGCGGTCTGCGCGGCCCCGGGCGCTGCTCTGAGTGCGCCGAAGGTGCTGGACGCTCAGGTGTACAGGACGCGCCCGCGTTTGCTGCGGGGAATGCAGGTTCCCTGATGGTGCCTTGGCGGTACGGCATCCGGGGGGGACCCCCGGGCCTGGCCGTGGCAGGGCGGCCCTGCGGCTTTGAGCCAGCGCGGCCGGCTTTCCCCGAGAGTCCGCGCTGCTCCCCAGCGGCCGCTGGCAGCCTATCCCTCGCGCGCACGCAGTCCTCCCGGCCTGCGGGCAAAGCAAGCCCTCCAGCCAGCCATCCTCGTCGCCCCCGCACGCGATGCCACTGCTTCGCCTGGGAGTTCAGTGTCCCTGCAACCCAGCACTTCCGTGCTGCCTGCCAGCCAGCCAGGAACGGGGTTCCGCAGACCATTTAGGGTGGTCTCGGCTCCCTCTTTTCTGCCACCCAGGCCCGGGAACAGAAAACCGGATCCCATCCGGGTGCTCCCGGAGCTCGCATGGAGGTTAACAGTAAGGGTGGGCTCTGGGTGCAGAGTTCCTAAATCTCTTCTTCCAGCTCCCATATTGAGATTAAAATGAGAACAACTGCAGAAAACACGTGGAAGAATAAAGAAGATAGGTTTAATATTTAGCATCAATTGAAAAGGAAGATAAAATTACAGAATTTTTCTTTTGTCATGAATAGCAGTTTTCTGAGAAGGACCACTTGGATTAAATAGAAGCGTCTGGTAAATAAGGGCTCCTTCGGTGAAGCAGCACATCGCTGCCAGGAATTCAAACACATGGAAAAGATACATTGTTATTGCTGTGTCCATGGTATGGACTTCAGTCGTTCACACAGATTTTAAGTGGTCTGCTCACCAGCTTCCTCTCCTGCTACGGTCCTGGGATGGCTCCCCACATTGCACCTAATACCAAAATGGGAAGAGACCTCAGAGCTCATTTTATTCTCATTCCCCAGATTTCCCAGTACATGCCTAAGAAAAGGGAAAGGTAATTTAAGTGAGTAGAAAAAATATTGAATGGGTGTAGGCTGTGAAATAAATACTTGTCTGGATCTCTTAATTTGTTCCTGGATGTACCATTTAATGCTCTGCCAACGATATTTAGTTATCAACTTTCTATCCCCAATGTTTAACTGACTTTCTGTTGCAAACTTTACTGAAGAAAAGGTCAAAGTTCACACCAGCTCAAGATTAAGCCATGGTGATAGTAGCTGTAATAAAAGCGTTGGGGAACTGGGGTGATAAGATGGTGCAAAGTGAACTCTCAGCGGTTACATCTACTTAGGAAAATAAAACTGAGGTAAATGGAATAAACTTGAACGTGGTCTTTAGGTACTCTCATGGCTGTTTGAGAACTGGTGCCAGGGCTGGAGAAGGGGGATGGCACCTCTTGCATGCTATTTGGTCAGCTCCATCCAGCAGTCAGGCATCTGGTCCAGGTACGCATCCTTTTCCACTCTGAATCTCAAACCTGGCTTCCTAGGTTCTAACCACACTGACCTCCTACCTGTCCTTCCATGATTCCAATACTCTGCAAGTGGTTGGTTCCTCTACCTGGAACCATATTCTTTTCCTCCCTTATTCTTGGTAAACTTTGATTCCACCGCCAGAGAGAGGTAGTTGGTTCCTCTTTTCTGTGCTCTGCAGTACTCGGGCAATAGCTTGTATACAGCTGTTTGCACTTATGCCTCCTGTATTAGGCTCTAAGTAACTTGAGGATAGAGCAGGCTCACATTCTAGTGCAATGCTATCCAAAGAAATATGAAAGTCACCGATGTAAGCCACATAATTAATTTTTAATTTTTTCACTCTTCTTTATTATTTATTCATTTATTTTTTAAATTAAGGTATCATTGATATACACTCTTACGAAGGTTTCACAGGAAAAACAATGTGGTTATTACATTCACCCTTATTATCGAGTCCCCCCATACCCCATTGCCATATAATTAATTTAAACTATTCTAATAGCCACATTAAAAAGTAAAGAAGTGGAGGGCAGTGCAACACAGAGAAGACAAGTAGTGATTCTATAGCATCTTGCTATGCTGATGGATGGTGACTGTAAATGGGGTATGTGGTGGATCTTGATAATGGGGGGAGTCTAGTAACCATAATGTAGCTCATGTAATTGTACATTAATGATACCAAAGAAAAAAGACAGAAAACTTAAAAAATAAAAGTAAAGAAGTGAAATGAATTTTAATATATTTTATTTAGCCTGATATATCCAAAACATTATCATTTTAACATGTTTTCAGTATAATAAAGTTATTAATAAAACATTCTACATTTCTTTTTGGTAGTAAATGTTTGCAATCTGGTGTGTATTTTACATGTACAACTCATCTCAGTTCAGACCAGCTACATTTCCTGTGCTCAGTAGCCACATGTGGCTAGTGGCTACTGCATTAGACAGCACAGCTCTATCCTTTGTCAGCACCTACCAAAGTGAATTAAAGAATGAATAAGAAAATGAACGAAAGTAAATCCCTTGCCTGGACCCTCTTTCTCCATAGTAGAAGGATAAGATTATCTTTAAAGACAACATGGGAAATTGCTGTCACAGTGCTATCTCATGTTTAGAATAATTCCCATCCCCTATGAGGTTGTTTAGGGCCTAATAAGGGAGATGAAAAACCATGGGTTCTGATGTATGTGGCTGAGGGTGGTCCATTTTCCTAAGTGTCTCCTACTATGGAAAGACATGAAGTCGGGGTTAGATTTAAGAACCTTCTGATTTACTTCTCTAGATCAGAACCTAGAAAAGCCAAATGTTTTTGAACATCCTATAACAAATCTCAGAAGAATATCACATAGAACTATAAATTACTTGACTTTTTTTTTTTATTTTGGTTTGCCTTCCAGGATAAAGTCTGATTAAGCTGATTTGCTTCCCTTCAAGCAGTGTTCAAAATAATCCTTTAGTTACAAGGCTTCCTACTACTGTTACCATATCATGATACATCTATTATATTCCACCAGAAGAAGGATCTGGACAAGAAATAACTGAGCTCAGAACAGTCTGTCTCATCTTAGCAAGTGGTATGTATCCTTTTCTTTAAAAGGGAGAGCTATAAAACTCATCCATGGTTTTTTTTGCTTGACATCAGGTTTCTCAGAGCTAAATGTTGTAACTGATCCCAGTAGGTTTTCTCAGTCTAGTTTTCTAAGTCTAGTCTAGACCTACCAACTATGAGAAATATATAGGAACCTTTTTATTTGTTTAACTTCAGGACTATGTGAAGTCATAGTCCTTCATGTTAATCAAGTCAAGTATTCACACAAAAAATATTAAGCCACTAGGGACTGTCTGTGTACTGGCGTAAGAGCTCCAGGAATGAGTACAATATGGTTTTCTGTTCTTGGACCTATTTTTCAGGTAAATCTGAATTATGACCAAACCTAAAGGAAGAAACCAGAAAGACTTCCATTTACCCCTCCAAAGATTGAACATGTTGTGGTTTCTGGAATCAGTGCCAACACAGATACGATTATCATGAATATGGCTGTTACTAGTGAGTTGATAATATCCTGAAAAAGCAGAATAAAAAGGTCAACTTTACTGAAAATCACCAAAAAAATGAATGAGCTCTCTAAAGATTTTGAAAGTTCCATTTTACTAAACAAATTTATTCAGGGTTTATCTTTTAGGAAATCAAACTGCCACAGTAAAATGACACCTATATATTGTGTGTGGTTTACAATGATGGCTAATGTTCTCTTAACCTATGATATGCCAATCACTTAACTACTTAACAGGCTTATTTCACTTTTTACTTAAATGTAGTTGGAGGGAGAACTCATCTGGTTAGGAGTGGATGATGTATTATGTGGAAGACAATGTAGAATGGTACACTGGGAAGTCAGAATGCTCAATTTTAATAATATAAGAGACAATGTGTAGTAGTCTGCATTGTAAATCAAACAACTTTATGTTACTAAAATGCAATTAATAAAACTTAGAGCAGTGCACACTTTAAGAGAGAAAGTGGTAACTTTCAGGAAAAAAATCTCACATATCTGTATGCAACGGCTGGCCTATTATGTTATTGCTTCTGGTCTATGAAGCTTATTTGCTTAATAATTTCTTGAAATGAAGCATTTTCATTCTGAACTGTGGCTTTAAGAGGTGCAACTTATATTTTGAATGGATGTATAGTGTGGGAAAGGTAAATTGTCCTTATTCTGGAATGTTTTATATATGCAGATAACTATAGGCAGGAAGGAATTATTGAATGTAACTAATCAAACTTAAAAACCCTAATAACTTAGAAAAGTAGTTATTAAAAAGAAATAGGAGGAGGTTCAATGGGGACAGGGCAAGAATAGATATATTTGGGCAATTCTCATTTACAGGAAATATCGAGACTAGCTGTCTCGGGTTAATGCTCCCCTGTGCTGGACGTTTTGCTCTGCTTCAAGGTGACAGGCCACACCTTCACTGCAGACAGGCAGCCTTGCCTCCTAAGAGTAATTTGGGGAAGTGTATGTGAATAGCTTTGGATAAAAGTGATGTTCGAGGGAGTGCAGAGAACCACAGGAAAAAAAACAACTATGTACCTGCTCTGGATCATCACTACCTTTAATGGTCTTTCAAAAGATTGTTTTAATATTGAAAACCAAATGTCAATATATCATAGAGTGAATGTAAATTTAATTACAGAAGTGAAGATTTCACAGAAATTTTGAGCCTGAACTCGGATCCCACCACAAAGCTCTGCGCTGGCGCACTTTGTGTGCTTTCTGCCATTGGAGCACTTGAGGGCAGCAGTCAGAGAAGGCGTGCTCTGCAGACTGTCTGTTCCTGCAACTTTGGGACCGTGACACACATAACACATAAGCGTGCAGATGACCAAGCCTTTACCTAACCCGTGAAGACAGCTGCCATCAGACAGAGGTACTTACATGGTACTCCTCCCTTACCTACAGATTAATTGGAATCTTTGGCCATCTTTGTGTCCTTTGCTTTTCTTACTGTACAAGAGCCCCAGGCATCTTTTCCAGTTGTGGTCTGCGACCCATTCCCACCAGCTACTCTCCAGGAGCCTTATTCTGTTATTATCCTTCTTTGTCCCTGGCAGGGTTTCCTCAACTCAGTGGTGGCCCTTCTAATTACAGTTGTCTCTCCTTTCCCATGGCTTTACTGTTACCTGTCCACTCAAGGCAAACCACTCTGGTAAAGGTCACCAGGGGCTACTATTAATAAAGTAAGTTAATATTTTTTTCAGGACTTATCTTTTTGTCTTTACACGTGTTAAGAGTCTTCCTTGGCTAGACATTCATGATCAGTTGGTCAGCTGGTAGCATCTACCTCCCTTTAAACTTTAAATCTGTACTCTTTTTAACCTTAGATCTATACAAGCTACTTATTCATAATTCTTTCAATTACTTTCCTAGTGTAAAATTAGCCTACCTTTAAATTTATAAATTGGTCACCTTAATTACATAGTAAATATAATTATAACTCATTCTTTATAATTAACATAATTACTATTAGCAACATGTCATCTCAAATCACTTCATTTACTCTATTGAACCAAGGTCTTGATTTCATGGATTGTGAAATCAAGGGTCACTTTTTCATTCTCCAACCTCTGCCACCTTTCTGTACCGTGGGACTTAGCATTGGTGACTGATTAATCCATTTTTAAAAAAGTACCTGTGATTGCGGTACCATATTTATAGCTCTTTTAACTTTCCTAACGCCTGGCCTTTGTTTCCAGTTCTCTTTAAAATATGCCACTAATATCTCAAAAATTTCTTCACCACTGTATGGAAACTCTTTTGCTAAGATCATCAGTCATTTCAGAATTACTAAATTTAATCCTTATCCTACTGCACCCCTGACTTGGTATTGGCTGTCCTTTTCCTGCTGTTCGACCCCTCTGGCTCCTGTTTCACCTTTCCTAGTTCTTACAGCTCTGCAGTATTCTTTCTTGGTGGGTTGCTCTCCTTTTACCCATCCCTTTAAAATGCTGGCATTCCTCTAGATTCTGTCCACAAGCCACTCAAGGAATCTGGGTCTCTGTCTCAGGTATATTCTCAGCATCTCACACATAAATACACATTTAGAATCTCTATCTGAAAAACCTCCAGGAATCTCAAACTTGCCATGTCCAAAACTGAACTCACCTTGCCCTTTCCACCTGTCCTCACTACCTTAATTGCTTGATACCACCATCTACTTTATCACCAGCCTAGAAACCTAAGGTCATTACTCCTCCTCACTCCCCACAACTGCTCAATCATCAGGTCCTGCTGACCTAATGCATAAAACATTTTGGAAACCCACTCCTCTTCAGTACCTCTTCTCTAAACTACATGACAAAGACACTCCAGTAAAGTTTCTAAATGCATATTTGTTTATGCATTTATCCACCTATTAAAAACCCTTCAGTGGCTCCCCATGGTGAGCCTAGCTTTCACCATGGCATTCAGAGTCTTCCATGATTCAGTTGCTGTCTGTATGTCTAGCAAAGGGTTGCTTCTCAATTTATCCACAGGATAATTCCAATGTTCAATTCTCATCCTCATCTTACTTAACTCTCATCGGTGTTTGACACAGTTGATCATCCTTCTAGAGTTTTTCACTTGGCTTCTAGGACACCATACTCCTGGCTTCTACTACTTCCGTAATTGCTCCCTTTCATTCTTATTTGCTGATTTCTTCCTCCTCTTAATGTTGATGTGTTCTAGGGCACAAGCCATGGTCTCTGCTTTATCCACATTATCTCTTGATGATCTCATCAGTCTTATGACTATAAATGCCCCTATTTCTGAAGTGCCAATCTCTCTCAAAGTCTACTCTTGCATATTCCAAATGCTTATTCAATATTGCCACTTGGATGTCTAATGACATCTCTAATCTGACAATGAAATCCAAATTGAACTTTTGATGCTCTGCCTACGTTTGTTTCACCCTCAGGCTTTTGGAGGATACCAACTCCATCTTTCCAGTCATTTAGGCCAAAAACTGTGGAATTATCTTGGACTCCTTTCTTTTCCTTTCACATCGGGTTTATCAACAAACTTTGCTGTTGTTACTTTTAAAATACATCTCAAGTAGGATTATTTCATATAACCTACTCTGCTAATGCCCTGGTCTGAGTCACTATCATCTCTTGCCCACATTGCTGTAATAGCTTTACTTGGTCTCCTTGGGTCTACCCTTGCCCTTGCAGCCTCCCCTTACTGTCCCCCTCCCACCACTAATTTATTGTCAGTATAGCAGCTGATGTGTGTGTATACACTTTTTAAAATATTAGATCATATACAACTTTACTCAAAACCTTCATCTCCCACAGTGTCACCATCACTCGACTCAAGCTACACTGGTTTCCTTGCTCTTTCTTGAACCCTTAAGGTACATTTCTGCCACAGGACCATTGTACTGGATTTTCCTGGGCCTCAAGTACTTTTCCTTCAGATATTCTCGTAGACACCTCCCTCACTTTACTCAGTTCTTTGCTGAGATGTCATCTCTAGGAAGCCTGTCCTGGCCACTCTATTACTGCTGCCTGCAACTCTCCTTCTCAGCCCTTCCTCCTCTTACACCTCCTGACCTGCCTTTACTTTTTCTCTTGTTCCATAGCACTTTTTGGAAATCTACATCTTTTATTTGTTGTGTTTATTGTTTGTCTCCCCTGCCCTCCCACCCCAATATGCAGGGATCTTTGTTCACTGGTATCTCCTCATATTAAGCAAAGCTGTTCTCCTTTAACTTTACCTATTTCCACCCCCTCTCCTATATGTCACCTCTTTAAAATTTAAAAATTACTTTTTCCTTTCATTTTTCTCTTCTTGAATTCCTTAAACATATTCTGCTATGAGAGTTTCCACTTCTCTAACTAGCCAGGTCACCTTCCTCCAAATTATTCATTATCTCCAAGTGGATCTGAACCTCTGTCTAGAGCTGACTGCAGTGCTCCTGGTAAGTCTGATGCCCCAGAAATGGGCAGTTCCATCATCCTTGCTCTGGACTGTATCACCCATGAGCTTGGTCACATCAAACTAAAGACTTTTAGTAAGTAAACTCAGCAGTCACCCAAACCCCTCAGTCTCTTGTCCTGCTGGCTCCTGAGTGGTACCACTGTGGCTGCCTCACCTGGTAGCCTGGGTACCTGGTTTGCAGATCCAGGTGGAGGCCATTCAGTAGACGAACAATTTTGTTTATGAGCGTGGTTCTTTAAATCTCCTGAGGGGAAGGACAGTGCCTCATTTCTTTTTCTACCCCCATGGTGCATAGAAAAATGCCTTGCCTCTAGGAAGGCCTTGATAAAAACAAGTTTGAAAGAGAAGACAGGGGGTTCTGCCTCATACTTTACAGCCATATCTCACTGCCCTTGAGCACGCCTGAAGACTGCCGCACCCTGTGGGCCGGCCCTCACCAGCTGCAGCATCTTCACGTGGCCCTTCACGCTGAAGCAGAAGGGACGATGCTTCGGCTTCCGCTTCACGTTCTGCATGGTGCCGGCAGACCTTGCTGCAGCACTTCCCCCGCAGGCCTCTCTTCCGAGGCACTGCTTCACCAGGCCTCGTGCGCGGCGATTGCAACCACCCTGGCTGCTGGACGTCGCTCGTCCGGCTTCCCGCCTCCGTGTGCGCCCGCCTCTGTGTGCGCACGCGCCCCTCGCCGCGGCCCGCACACGTGCACGAGTGCGCATGCGCCCCGCCGGAGCCATGAAGGCCTGTCACCTGTTAGCTCTACCTTGACGTGCCAGGTACCAATGACACTGCTCTCCAGTTCTCCACAGGAAGCGTTCTCAGAGGGTGGAAGAGGTGAGAATGTAGGAAAGGAGTGGGTGGGGGAGTTGAAGAAAAAGGCGTTCAGGAATGGCCATTTCACCACCCCAAACTATGGGCATCCCAAATGCCACTTCCTTAGAGAGGATTTCCCTTGGTCACTCTGTCCAGAGTAGCCGCCATCACTCTCAAAGCATTTATCACTAGCTGATACATAATACATTTATTTAAGAGTATGAATTGCCCGTCTGTTTCTTTACCTTCAGGGTCCCCAGGGTGTGGCATACAGTAGACGTAGAAGGTGTATAGTCTGAACTAATGGTCTGGGCCTCTACCCTGTCCTGCCCCCAAGGGATTACAGTCTGGGTTTGTGAGCCCAGTTTGTTCATAGTTTGATTTTTGCCACCCACTGGTGCTCGTTGTTTCAAAGAACAGCTTGTGGCCCTTCAGAATTCAATTTGTGTTTTTCATAATTGCTCCTATGAAGCCATAGTTCCACCATCTCGGAGACTTTCTTTTCAGGGATGGGAAGTATGTGTGGTATCTTTTATGTGCTTTAAATTGTCTTGGATAATTTGGCCATCCCCACAGTCCATTCAGACGTCTTTGGATCCTGCCCATCTTAGATTCAGTCCATTTCATTCAGACAAAGCTGATCAGTAGGTACTTCTAACAGCATCATCCCTAGTGGCTCACAAACATGTTGAACTTAATCCTGTAGTTTGTTTATCGAGGGCACACCTGCCCTGTGCCACGTTTGTGGCAGATATTACAGGAAGCACAAGATGGGGTTGTGGCTTTCCTGTAAGAGATCTAGAGGCTGAATGAACCCTCTTGCAAATGACTTCCATTTCCTGCCCAAGAGGTGACTGCCAGCATCTTGCATTCCTGGGAGAGGTGGGAGACCCCTCCGCCAATCACTAGAGTGGGCATGCACACGCAGTCTCTGCTCCTTACTGCAGTAGCTTAGTTATGCTTCAGGGCCTGAGTGTGTTGAATTATACCCCATCTACCTCAGACCTGGGCTGAACTTTTGCTACCTGACTATGGATTGGGTTTACAGGCATCCTGCCCACTCACTAATTGTCCAGTTGGAATGCTGTTGTGCCTTTGCTAAAAGAGAAACTGAGTCATATTAAAAATCTTAAAAGTCCATTTGAGCAAAAATTGATTAGAATTGGGCAGCATCTAACCCAGCAGATAGAAGGGAGCTCCAAGTAGCTGTACAAAATGAAAGATTTTTATAGGCAGAAGAGAGGAGGAACAAGGAAGTTTTACTAGGCAAAAAGCAGGTTGGTTATTGCAAGGTTACTTTCTTTTAGGGGATGATAGGGGTTGTTGGGTAGATTACCTAAATACTGCTGATCAGGAAGTAACTGATTGGTTTAAGATTCCATTTCTAGGAGAGGCGAAAATATAATTAAGTTTGGGTTTGGTGACCTGGGGCTTACCATAAGTGACCCCATTTTGGGATTGCTGTCTTTTTTTTTTAAACACCTTTCTGAGGTATCTATTACACATTTACCCTGGAAATGTCAACGTTCAGAGGGAAGAACGCAGACTGTGAAGCAAGATTAGGTGGGCTTGAAATCCAGCTCCACTCCCTGCATGAAAGCTTCTGATTATTTTAAACAAGTCACCTAAGATTCTGAGGATCAGCTCAACTGGGAGATGAGAGTGCCAATATCCTCTTGCAGGACTATTGGGAAGAATAAATGACACCGTGTCCGCCAGGTGCCTGGGTAGGACAGGTGCTTAGTTAAGTAATACCTGGTAATTCATTAACCAGTCAGTCGATGGCATTGTTGGCCGTCCATCCCCGAGTCTTGCAAAGTCGTGGGTTCATTCTGATAGCGTCCCGTTAGTGGGAAGATTTCCTGGCTGCAAATGGCAGACCCCTCCGCTTTAATTATTTCCCTCTCGGGGAGTGAAATGCGACGTGGTCTCTTTAAAAGCCGGGCCCCAGCCGGCGCTCCGACGCGCCGGCGCGGCCAGGTAGGCGGTGCGCAGGCGCCGGCTGGGCTGCCGAGCCGACGCGCAGGAAGGAGACCCCAGCCGGCCCGGTCTGCCGGCCGGGCCATGCTGCGGTTGCTGCGGAGCGGTGCCGCCGGGGCGCTGCGCCGTCTGGGGCCCGGGAGCCCCGCGTCAGGCCTGGGTCCGCGCCGCCAGGCCTGGCCTCGGGGTAACGCGTCTCTCGGTTCCACGTTGCTCGTGGCCGGCGTCTTGGCACTCAGCGGCCGCCCGCCCCACTCCTTGCCCTCGTCTTCCAGACCCGCCTGAACCCGAAACTCCTCCTCCGGGGCGTCTCCGGGCGGCTGCGGGGAGGGGAGGAGGCGGTTGCTGGCCGGTACCCAGGACCCTAGCTGGCAGCGAGTGGGTGGAGCTGTGGGGCTCAGGACCCGTCTCTTGTTCAAATTTGGGGAGCCCCCCCAAATCCCAGAAAGAACCCCCGTCCCTGCGGCGAGGGGGCTGCTTTAGTCGAGTTTTTTGGCTTTGGGGAAGACGGGGGCTGCAGTTAACCAGCCTCCAGCTCACGCTGGTGCCAGTGGGTAGTGGGTAGTTTAGGATACGGTGCCTTCCTGCTCTCATTGGGAGCAGAGACCTCTCCCCATAAATGGAAGTCGCAGTTACAGCCAAGTTCTAGCGTTCTTTAGCCTCAGGGCTGTTCAGTGGCATCTCAGAACCACTTGTGCCTTGAGCCACGAAGTCAGCGCTGGGCCTAGAGGAGAAACTTAAGGCTTTGGCTGAAACCCATGCCTGCCACCCACCCTTATCCATGGGCTCCGAGTGTAGGCCACTCTGCGTTTTAACTTGATGGACACCCATATGTGAAGGCTATTATTAATATAGCAATCAATATAAATATAAGTTGTGTGGAAAATTAGTAAGTATAATTTACTAATTGAAAAAAAAGCTGAGCACAGCTGATCTCTAGAGGGGACAGGCCGCAGTTGCTTGGTGTTGCACATAGGTAAACAGCAGTGGTGAGCCTGCCTCCATGCGTTCATGGAGAGCCCGAGGTGTCACTGGGAAATGTTTTTAGGCCTGGGAGCAAGCATAAAAATGACTATTTTCATGGTGGTTTAGAAAATCAGGAGAAAGAAGAGTAAATTACTTAAACTGGGTTTAAAAATTGATTTCTTTTCTTTGTAGATAAAGATAGAGAAAATGAAAAAGAGAAAAAATCAGTGGTAAGTCCCTCTTTTATGTGGATCCTGCAGTGTACATATCTTTATCTGTCTATCTATATTGAGGAAGAGAATGAAGGAATATTGCACATAATAAAAACAGAAATACAAGAGGATCTTCACAGATAGGGGCGTCTGTCTCTTCCCTAGCCCCAGACCCCCTCCCCAGAGGCCACCTCTTACCAATTTCCATACCTGCATCCTTCCTCAGAGTCTACACAGGTGGGAGCATACATGTATTCATAAGCTTTAGGTAGATTGGGACTGTTAGCTTGATTAACAATTACAAAAGGATGTGAAAAATGCTCATCCTCCATGGGGTAGGTTGGTCTCACCTTGGGTTAGTGGGTAGCAGCCAGGCTGCTGTCCACCGCCTACCCCCTACCCTCCTGCGTGGAGACTAGTGAATGGTGGATAGAGGGAATCCATGGGGGTCCACAGACGTGGGTTCAGCCAGTACTGTGACTTTGAGATGTGAGCTCTGGGATGAGGCTGTGGCTGGTGTGAGGTTGAAGATCAAAACAGGGTCAAGTTGTACATGTCCATGGGGAAGCTGGAGCTTTTAGCTGGCTGGGGTGGGGAGCAATATTTCAGTCACTATCAATCCAGAAGCTCAGTTTCTTAAGAGAGCTGGAAGTTGGTAGCTTCTATGGCTGGGAAGGGAGCGGCTTACTGGGTGGTGGCAGGAGTACTTGGATCTGGATATGTAAAGGGAGGAAGGGGTGGACAGGCCCCCTGGGGTATCTGGGGTGGCAGAGAGAACCTGAGAAGGAGTGAAGTCACACAGAGAGGATGGTTGATTAAAATTCTTGAGATGGAAGTTGAAATTAGAGGTGGGGTGGGGTATGGCAAGAGGCAGCATGGAAAGGCAGAGGGATGTTAAGTTGAGCTGGATGGAAATTGATGCAGTATTGTGCTATCAGACACACAGTAGGTAGTCCATAGAAAGTGGTGTGGAACTTGGATTCAGGCCCAGGCCTGCTCTTAAGCATTAAAATTCTTTGCGTTCCTGTATGGACCTGGAGACCAGAAAGCCCCTGGCATTACTGGGTCTGATGGGAGAGATGGCAGTAAATAAGACAGTGATGGATCTAGAACAGCAGTGAATCTGGAGGCTGTGAGTAGGGGGCAGGGCTTCCAGAGGACAACTACTGAGGGGAGCCTTGAGGAGCCTTAAGCGTCCTGGGAGATAGAGGAGAGGGTGAGGCAGGAGCGCTGGAGCAGAGGGAATTGCAGAGGCAAGTCACAGAAGGGAGAGAACCTGCAGGCCTGACACTCGTGGCCAGTCCCCGGAGAGGTGGCTGGGGAGGACCTGGGGATAGTGTGAAGGGACAGGAGATGGATCCCAATACCTGGAGCCACTGCAAGACTTCTCTGGATGTGATGTGGAAATGGGGGCTGCCAGGGTTGGGGAGTGAGGAGCCCTGCTGGGTCAGATTGGAGCCTAAGAAGCCAGCCGGGAGGCTGCTCAGCAAGGAGAGGTAAAGGCCAGCCAAGGAGACAGGCCCGGGTTCTGCCGATGAGTAGAAGCAGGGCCCAGAGGAGGTGCCGAGTTGCTGGGTGAGGAGAGAAGACGTGCAGAGTATTGAGGGTATCTGAGTGGATGGTGCCTTTCCTAAGGACTGGAATGGGGAGAGAAGCCGTATGTGGGTGTTGAGAGGTGATGAATTAGGGTACCATGGGACAGCCCATGGTATCGGACAGTTAGGGAATATCTGCAACTGGGAAGTCACTCACCACCAGAGTAGGAACAAGTAATTTTGGAAGAAGGTTTATCTAAATAACATGTTTCTTGCAGTGAAAGAAAGAAATATTATACAGAGTGATATCTAGGTTGAGCTCTTCATAGGTTTCTAGGAAGAGGAAAAGTTGTTTCCTTTAAGGAATAGCAATTTAAAAAGATCAGATCCTTTAGTACCCTGATCAGATTTGGCTTTGGTGTACACCCTGGGTTCGTTTTATAGTTTTCATTCTAAATGAGTGAGCTGGCCTGGGCCTGGGATTGGAGGGTGGCCTGGCATCCTCTGGAAGTATATCTCCTGGATATCCAGCAGGGGGAAACCTTTGCAGCTGCCTGTCAGAGAGTGGGTAGGGGTGGGGCAAGGTGAGACAGCCCACTGTGACCCTGTAATTTATGTAGGATGTAATTGAGGTTCCACTGGGGTCATGGAAAGGGGTCTGCCAGACCTAGGAGTGAATTCCAACTCTTCTCTACCAGGCCTAGTGCCTTAGGCAAGTCCCCTATGTGGTCCACGTTTCTCTCGGTGCCTCCAGCCTGGGTGTAAACGTCACTGTGTAGCAGGATGTATCCTCTGTGTGTGCTCCAGAGGACATCTAATAGGTATTCTCAAGGGCCAGTTTGTCTTATAGCTGTGGAACTGCCCATTACCTCTTATGATCTCCTGGAGCCAAAGCCATTTGGCCTGTGTCACCCGGAGTGCCTGGCTGAGCAGCACCTGGTCAGACTCGCTGGGCAGTCTGATTCAGAGGGTCTGGGTGCTCTAGTGCTTCTGAAGCAGGGTGCCTGTAGACTACACATTGAGAAACCCTGCTGCGGACGGTTGTGCTCAGCCTTCCTGCTCGTTGAAATCACCTGGAGAGCTGTGTAAAGTACTGAGGCCTGAGTCCAACCCTCAGAGATTGTTGTGTAATTGGCCTGGGTAGTGGCTTCCTTGTAGAGATTTTTAAAAACTCCCAAGTGAATCTAACATATCCAAGACTGAGCACCAGTGCCTGGAATGCTTTCTTTTCCTACAGTGAGGCTCCTTGGTCTTTGGGATTGCTAGACCTCAGATGGCTGACTCGCCCCTCCCATCAGAGCCAGGACACCTCTCTCCTACAGTGTAGTTAGCGTGAACAGAGTGGGTTCAGGCTATCCTTCCTGCTTTATTTCCTTTTACAAGCCTCACATTTTTCTTCTATGAAAATGTGAGGACCCACTTCTCAGGTTCTGGTAAGGTTATGCACTAATGGTGTATATTACCTGACTTAGGGCCTGGCCTGCAGCAAGGGGCCCGAGCAAGTTCTTCTATCCGTCCTGTCCTAATACTTTCCAGTCCATGGCTGAGTGCATTTTTCTGCACAAAGCATTGACTTTAGGCTCTAGATAACATACACATGCTTCCCAACCTCAAAGCCATTAGGTCTGGGTAAGGAGGTAGGACACTTGGGCCTAAAGTCTGATAGTCTCAGAGGTTGAGTGACGGACAGGCAGAGCCAGGGTGGCCAACAGCAAGCTGTGTATGATCTAGGGGTTGATGTAAAGGAGGTTCTGTCTTGGAGGGCAGTGGTCTTGTGGCCACCAGCAGTAGGCCTGGAGCCTGCCACTGAGGGGAATTGGGGACTTTCTGCTGAGGGATTCTTATATACACAATGAAGGCTTTATATACAGGTTGAACCAAATATGCTGTTTACCTGAGCTCCTCCAAAAAAATTCTTCCCTGAAATTCCCCCAGGTGCTTGATTTCTGATTCTCATGTACATTTGTCTTTTGTCAGATTTGTGTCGAGGGCAATATTGCAAGTGGAAAGACGACATGCCTGGAGTTCTTTTCCCACACAACTGACATTGAGGTATGGTCTCCACACCAGGTTTGAAGGAACCTGCAAAGCTTGTCAGAGCACTTACAGAGGGCGTTGAGCAGCCCTGTACAAAAGAATATGTGAGCCATAAATGCAAGCCACATGTGTAATGTAAAATTTCTAACAGCTTTGCTAAAAAACCCAAAAAGAACATTTTATTTAACATAATGTATTCTAAATATTACCATGTCAACATGTAATCAATATAAAAGCTTTTCATTCTGTTTTTCATACTAAGTCTTTGAAATCTCGAATGTGTTTTGCACTGATGGCATATCTCAATTTGGACTAGTCACATTTCAGGTTTCTAATAGCCCCATGTGGCTCATGGATACTATACTGGATGGTGCCGATATAGACATCCCCATGGTCTGGCTAGGAGGAGTCCGCATATGAAAAGAAGTTAGGCTGGTGAGCATGGTTAGAATGTTACAGTGTTACATCTGATACAGTATTCAAGTAGGGAAGTATTGCTGTGTAGCCAGTTAAGGTAATTTCTAGTTTATTCACAGCCCAGTCACCAAAAATAACCTCACAGATGTTTAAGAATTGTCTCTGTATACTAAGACCCTGATACTTCTTCCCTGCAGATTGTAGTGGTGTGATTCTTTCTCATTACTATAGATCCTGTAATTTCCATACCTTTGGAGTCATTTTCTTTCCTTCTTTCTTTTCCTGTTCTTCCTTCTATTAATAATATATGTGGTTTGCTAAAAATGATAAACATTCTATTGCCCTTGTCTTGCTTGTGTTCATATCCTGCTGTGCAGAAAAGAGTTAACAGGCCTGAGACTGCCATCCTCAGAGAGGCTTGTCTGCAAGTTTGGCCCTGGGCTGGCTGCGGGAACTTGGGTTTTGGGAGAGCTCCCATCATTTCCTGACTGATAGGAGTGGCTCTCTGTGCCTAAAATGTTTGTGCAAACAATATGGTTTATTCTGTACAGCAGTTTTCTTTCTGGCAGTCTAGAGTTTTCATATGTGCTAGGCCGATACTGCCTACATGACTTAGCCCTGATAAGAATCCTGACTTCACAGTTCAGGCCAGCTTCCCTGGTAGGCACCATCGCATACGTGTTGTCACAACTCGCAGTTGAGTGTGTCCTGTGTGACTCCTCTGGATAAGGCCCCTTGGAAGCATATGCCTGAGTTCCCCCCACACTGCTCCATGCACTGATTTTGCTTGTTTTCCTTTGCTGATATGGCTTCGTATCCTCTCACTGCAGTAAATCTTAGCTGTGAGCACAGCTGTGAGTCCTCCTAGTGGATCATCAAACCTGGGGAGGCGGGGGTCTTAGGGACTCCCAGTACACCTGTCCTGAATGGTGTAACTCCCAGTGGCACTCTAGAAGCACTTATATTCTCAGTGAAGACCTTGAAGTGAATGAAGAACAGCAATAATAATAAGGGCAGTGATGGTTAACATCCAACTAGGATAATACCATATGCCAGGCATTATGCTGAGGCTTCATTATATTATCTAAATGATTTCATCCTTACGAGAGTGGGTCCAGGGGGTAATTACATTTATTACCTGGGTTGCAGAGGAGGAAACAGACTCAGTGAGGTTAAATGGCTTGGCTGGGGTTGCATGGCTAATGCGGGTGGAGCCAGAGCCCCAGCCAGGCCGGCCGGCTTCAGGAGTCATGTCCTGTTTGGTTCTTTTGAACTGTTAAGAGCTTCATTGGCTTTAGGAAGACCACTCGGCCTTCAGATCTCAGCCCAGTGCCCTGTGGCTTCTCCAGCTAGTTACTCTCCCTGGTGTAGGTTCTTCTGGCCCCTGTGTGCCCTGTTTTATATTACTTCTCAGGGTTTGAGAATACATGTTGATTTCTGTGATGATCTGATTGAAGTCTGCTTCCCCATAAGTTATAAGTTCCATGAAAGCAGGGGCTGGGGTAGTTTTGCTATTGCTGTATCCTTGGTGCTAAGTATGGCTCCTGGCACAGTTGTGCTTGATAAGTGAGAGTAACGGTGCCACAGATGGAGCACAGGTCAAGGCTGCCTGTGACCCAGCGTTTGGTGGGCCTAACTGGTATAGCATATGCTACTTGGGACAGGAACAGAGTGCTGAAGACCTAGAAGAAAGAGAGGGAACTGGGAAGGGCAGGCAATGATGACAGAAGAAAGGATTTTTTGAACTAGATTTTGAAGGATATGTAGGAGCTTTCCATGTAATGAAAGGTGATGTGAAATGAGATGAGGTGGGCATACTGAGCAGAAGGAACAGCATGAGTAAAGGTGACACACAGGTGTCAAAGGTAGGGGGAGGTTACTCTTCAAGGGTCCTATGCATTGCTTTCCTTTGGTCTCTTGTGACCTATGTCACTTGCTCATGTGCACTTAAAGGTCCCCAGATGGATCCCGGCACTGTCAAAATCTTGGCTCCAAGAAAACCATTCAAATCTTCTCCAGGACACACCTGCACACCCAGAAAGGCTCTTGCACGGTTTAGGAAACGACTCTTAGCTGTCAGTATGTTCAGTGCAGAGATCAGAGGGAGAAAATAGAGGCAGAGCAAGCTGTCAAGGTCCCCAGGAGCACTCCCTAGTGGGGAAGCTGGGCTTCAGGCTGGTGCCGTAAGTGCCCGAAGTAGCTGTCCTCTCGGCTTCTCTCATCTCCCTGCCCAGCCTGATGCAGTGGCAGTAAGGGCTGGGATGAAACACATGTAGGAAGAAGGCTTGAGAGAACCCGCCTTGCCCTCGGGGAGCTCCCAAGGCAGCTGGATAGGTGGGGTATGCATATTCATGTATATAGGGATGGATAGAGTTGTTCTAAAGTCATTTCTGGAAATCATGTGAGGAAACCATGTCTAAATGGAGTTAGTTGTAGCCTCACAGGGTTTCTCACCTCTCTGGGCCCACTCTGAGTACCTGAATCTTGAGCAGCTGCTCTTGATGTTTTCTTTCTTTGCAGGTGTTAACAGAACCTGTGTCCAAATGGAGAAATGTCCGTGGCCATAATCCTCTGGTGAGTGTGTTGTTTCGTGTGTGAACTGCCCACTTTCCCTTAAGCACCTGGGAACCGTGGTACTGGTATCTGACCCTGGGCCTGCCCCTGGCCCCCTGAGGCAATTTCCTAACTATCAGCTGGGCCAGAAGAGGAGCGGGAGATCACAAATGGACAGTGGTGGCATGTTGGTGTTCTGAGGTCAAGGACATCTGAGGCCTGGCTGTGCATTTGCAAAGGACCTCCTGTCAGCTCTCCCAAACTATCCCAAGTGGTTGGCCTCAGCTACTGGGGGTTTCATCTCCTGCTGCTCATTCTACCCTCCCGCTCTCCATTAGAACCCAGGTCTCCCCAGGCCTAGCCCCCCAGGTCTTATCTAAGTAACCAGGTTCCTTGGTATACCTCTGATTTGGGTTTGTACTTGGCAATGTCTAGGGACTTCCTCTGGCTTGCCCTGTAGCTGCCTATCTGCTTTCCTAAGGGTGGACCTAGCAAGCAGGGGCTAGAGCACGCCATGCCTCCTTCTCTTCCTTCCCTATTCAGAAAGATCTACTCTGGCTGCTTGGAAGAGATGCGTGGAGTCTGAGTCTGTAAGAGGGAATTTAAGAAAGTGGTGTTGCTTCTGGGCTCTGGCCCCGTGATGTAGGGATGATTAATTTCACTTTCCAGTGAGGAAACTGCAGATGAAATAAGTTGCCCAAGGTCACACAGCTGGTAAATGACAGATCTGGGTTTGAACCTTGGACTTGGGGGAGGCTGTGCTGTCTTCTCCTTTCTAGCAACACAGTTGGCATCTTCTTGTGTGGTTCTTTAGACTCTTAACTTCTGCTAGGGACAGGGACTTAATTTGGCTCACAGTTATTTTTTAGAACATAGTACACTGCTAGGCACTAAGTACATGCTTGTTAACTCATTCATTCAGTCAATATTCATTGCATCCCTATCATGTTCTAGACACTGGGGCAGTGAGCAACTCAAAGCTCCTGTTCTCCTGGCCTTAGTATTCCAGTATGGAGAGGCAGAAGACAGTTAAATTTATGATATGGCAGGTGGTGATAGGAACTGTGAAAAAATATAAACCAGTAAAAGGATGTTATTTAAATAAGGCAAAAACTCTCAGTCTTTGAATAAAGAATCCCAGAGATGTGGAAAGGGTTTCACCATATTTGTGCATGTGGGAGAAGATGGAATGCCAATCACTCTCTTCAGGCATAACAAAGAAGCCTCAGAAACATTGATATTCTTTAGGACTAGGCAGTAACCAGGGTAGATTAAGACAACTAGAGTTGCAGACATTAGGGTTTAGGGGTGACATTTCACAGGACATAGTCCCACTCTCAGAAATCTGAGTATCCTTGCTACAAAGAGCATTTCCAATGACAGTTTTATAGTAAAAAAAAAATAGAAATAGATATTTTTACACAAGTTTCCATTCTGGACAGAAGAGCAAGATTTGTAGTTTTGTGAAGTCTCAATTCAGTCCCTAGATCTGAGTCAGTGAAGAAGTGAGCAGTACAGATATCTGGAGGAAGAGCCTTCAGCAGAAGGCACAGCAGATACAAAGGTCCTGAGGTGGGATTGTGCTTGGGTGTTTGGAGGAATACTAAGGAGGCTTATGTACTGGAAGCAGGAGACAGGAGAAGGTGGAAGGGATTGTCTAGTGGGCCTTTGTGAGGGCTTTGGATTTCATTCTAAATACAACAGGAAGCCACTGGAATGTTCTGAGTAGGGGAGTGACAAAAACTGATTTCACCCACTTTGGCTGCTGGATAGGGAACAGACTGTAGGGGGTTCAATGCACATTTATTGAACAACTGAATGGGTGTTCCCTGGGGGTTTCATATAGGCTCCTATTATAGCTGTTACTGGGCTGAGGGCCCTGCAACCATTTTGGTTCATCTCTGGCCCCAGCTCGGCCCCATGTAGGTTTCATGGGATGGCAGTCAGTGATGGAAGAGACCAGGGCCCTACAGAGAGAGCACTTCGAGACAAACTGCTGTGTCCTCCCTTCTGCAGGGTCTGATGTACCATGATGCCCATCGATGGGGCCTCACACTGCAGACGTACGTGCAGCTTACCATGCTGGACCAGCACACTCGTCCTCAGGTATGTATCAGAAGCTTGTTTTCAACCTTCTTAAACAGTTTTCTTCAAATGAGGGGTAAAGGGTTTCTGGAAAGAGAAACCTCATAAGGAAGCCTCGCTGGGTCTTGAGCACTGCTCAGCCTTCTGTCACTGGGGCTGAAGTTTCCTTTTCTGAGGCTCTCTGGGGTCCAGCCTCCAGTGCCCCCATCCACCAACCTTATCTAGCCAAGAAGAACTTGCTAGGGATGCCACGTCAGCCTGAGTCTTCACAGCCTGTCCACTATTGGGCTAAACACCTTTTAACTGAGTTATTCTCAAAGTGTGGTCTCTGGATGAGGAGCAGAATGCGGGAACTAGTTAGAATTGCACCCTTTCTGGTCCTATCCTTGACCTACCGAATCAGGAAGTCCTGGAGAGGAGGTCCAGCAATCTGTTTCAACCAGCTCTCCAGGTGATTTTAAAGCACCCTTTGTTTGCATATTTGAGAACCACTGACCTAACCTTCACAAGATCTGGTTCTTGGTTCAAATTTTTGATAGAAAGAATTACTCAGGTTGGGTCAGGTGTCCAGCCCTGGGCCAGTCAAGTGTTGGGGCAGATCGCAGGGTGCAAACAGGAATGCTTAGGCCAATGCTTCCATTAGCCTGGGTGTGAATAGGGGAAGAGCTTCTTAGAAGGAAGGCTGGTGAGAAGATCTTGATTGGCACCTGTGGTTCAAGATTGTAAGCACAACCTGAGACCAGCTTTGGAGGCTCTCCATGAAGGAGAAGGGAGATGCCTACAGCCAGTTACGTGGACACAGCCACTCATCTGGGTGGGCACCTGTGATTATAGCTATCATTCCAGAAATCTTCATCTTTTAAAAAAAAAAGAAAGATAAGAGCAGACCATATGAATTTCTATCTCCCCAATATCTGGCTAAGTGATACGAGTCTGGGGATCTGAGGTTGGCACTCTTCCCCTTTGCCCATCCTACTTTTCCTGAGCAAGTGCTCAATTGCAAACCTAATTTGTATCTAATATATCTGGATATAATGGGATACATGTGTGTTGCTCCAAGGACCTATACCATGAAGGAGGCAGAGAGAGAAAGAAACATGGCCAGACTGGGAAAGAGGAACAGAGGAAAGATGGATGAATGGGGAGCTAGCAACAGATGGGCAGCAGATTCATAAGGAGGGGATGGAAAAATTCAAAGGAAGACAGATGGACAGAGAGACAAATGGAGAGAGAGTAAGGAAATTCCTGGGTTCTAGCTTTGAATCTGCCTCTGATTCGCAGGTCCCATGGGTGCTGTGGGCCAGGCTGAGTGAGAGCAGTGTTTGCCCACTTGGTGTCAAGGGTAAGGGACCTTGTTGCTTCCCAATGGGACACTGTGGACAAAGGGAAAGGTCATCTGTGGATGTGTGAACACTGTGACAGAAAGGGTGATGTGAGCAAAATCCTCCTTCCTCTTAGGCACGGTCCTTCCCAGTTTCCAAAGGGCTGCAGTGATCCCCAACCAGCCCCTGTGAGGAGACAGTGAAGTTGGCAGGTCTCACATCCTTGTGGGGTTCCAGAAAGCCAGACCTTCAGGCACTGATGCCAGAATGTCACCTTCACCCAGCCTGCTCAGGGTTCTACCTCAGGCATAAATATCCCTGTGCTTAAGTAAATGCATGCTATTTAGCTCCATTATAATCACCACGCTTCGCACTTGACAACACTTTGCTGGACAGCACTTGTTTTTTTTTTCTAGCAGTTCCACACAATCCAGTTGAGCCCTACCTCTCCTGTGAAGGAGGCTGCTGCTGACAAGTCTTGGCATTGCTGCACTGGCTACTGACCTTCAGGGTATGGGGAGGGTCCTGAGCTGAGGCAGGAACACTGCTGAGCCCACTGTCCCCTAGGTGCTTCTCCTCTGGTGACTATTTCACTCTCCCTCAGCTTCTTGATTATTGTATCCAGTGTAGACCACAGGCAGGGGAAGCAACAGGCATTCTTCAAGGCTTCCTGACCTCCTCCTTATTGCCTGAGTTAGTGAATCACTTTTTGTTTTCTTTCAGACATCACCTGTACGATTGATGGAGCGGTCGATTCACAGTGCAAGATATGTTTTTGTAGAAAACCTGTATAGAAGGTACTCTAGTTTGCAGAATTGATAATCTATTAACTTTTAATTTTTAAGAAATGAAATTGGAACTTGTCTACTCAGTTGACGGATATGGAGCAGCTACTGTGTTGTATCAGTTACCTGTTGCCACAGTAATGCTGTGTAACAAACAACCTCAAAGCTTCAGTGGCGGATAGTTCTCTGCATTGATTGTTCAGTCATCTAGGGTGGTCAGCCTGGCAGCTCTTTGGCCTGATGATATGTCTGGGGGTCGGCCGATTTAGGATGGCCCCTAGCAAGGGTGACTGAGGTGACTCATCTGCATGCTTCTCATCCTCCTCAAAGGACCAGCAGGCCAGCCTGGGCATTCACTTCTCATGGTGATGGCAGAGGGCAAAAGCACCAGTGGAATGCATGAGCACTTTCAGGCCTCAGCTTCACATTTGCTAACATCCCATTGGCCAAAGCAGGTCCTACACACCGACCCCAGCCTGAGAGGTGGGAGGCCTTTGGTGGGTTACATGACCAAGTGGGAGCATCTAGAGAAGGGGGAAGATCCGGAGCAACTATTGGTCAGTCTGGCATGGTGTGTACAATGTTTGTTATCATTGCACTCAAAACTGTCTTCTGCTCTCATGGGTGCATACTCGGTCATATAGACATTTTGGGGGCCTCTAGTGGCTCATAGAGCTGAGGGCTCAGGCATGGGGCCCTTCATTTCTGTGTTCTCTTGACTGCTGATTTTTAGGGGTCATGGGGAAATGGGCTGCAGGCCTGGTTCTGAAACTTCAGCTTCTTGCACACCCCTCCCTCCTTGGTACCTCTGTATCCGGTCCCCCTCTCCTTGGCAGCCCCACATTACTGCTTCTTCCTGTGTTGAGCTTTGGGGTGTGGCTGTCACTCCCTTGCAGAGCTGGTCTTGATATTTGCCTTCCTCTCTTCACATACTGGCTGCCTGTTCCCTCTCACCTGCAGCTGTCATCCTAAATGCCACCTGTCCTGACCCTCCCCAGCCACCCTGTCTAGAGGAGTTGAGCCCCTTGTTATTCTTGGTTACTTAGTTCTCTTGGTTTTCTTCATAGTATTTAAGACAACTAATTAGGCTGAACCTTATGAAATTGTTAATATTTGACCAATTTTGACTTACAAAAATGGCAGTTTCACATGGTTCAACTTAGTGTTTATTTGTTTAGTTATCTATTTTGTGTCTTTCAACTGGACCATAAGCCCCTTGAGTATAGGGACCACGTTTACTAGTGGTCTCTGCACGGAGCTGGCACCTGGTCAGTACTACTGGGCAAGAGGACCTCTAGTCATTCTTTGGTCTCCAGCCAGACATGTTCCCCTGGTTCTGGCCCCAGCTGTTCCACACCCCTTCCTTTGATGGGGCCACTGAAAAGGCTGGGTGCGAGTTGCTGCTGTCCCTTTGGGGTTGGGGTTGATCCTTTTAACCAGAAGCCTTTGCAGCTATGGCTTGGGATCTGGGGGGGTCCCCAAGAAAATGCTGCAGGCATGGCCACATACGAGAATTCTCCATCCCCCAGAGCACAGTTTCTCATAGGATGTTCTTGCCTTTAGGGCCTTGAATAGCGAGGAGTTCTAGGGATAAACCCACCTCTTCCGGGCCTTTCACCCCAGCAAGTTTGGGGTGGGCAGGATGTAAGTACAATTATTCCACCATGCATTGGAGAGGGTGTGTTAATTGCTGAAGAGGAAGATTCTGGTTGTGTGTTCTCCTTAAAGACAGGAACTTCTGAGGTGTGGGCACTGTACTAAAATGAAAAGCTGAAAAGGTGGCAAGAACGACACGTAGCTGAAGCGGCCACACAAGCAATTGTATGGCCCCTGCCCTGTGGGCTGAATAATTAAATGCATAGATTTCACAAGATTGCCTGGTTGGTGTTTTCCAAGAACAGAAGCAAGGAAATTGAGTGCGGCCCAGCTGGGGTAATGACATGCTGACTCATGTGGGGTTGGTGGTCGGGGGCATTGATTAAGACCCTGTATTTGGAACAACAGGCAGGTCTCCTACCTCCTTGACTGGCCCCTGGGGCCTGGACTCCTCCCCTGTTCTGGTCCAGACTTGTGGCTCACAGCCTGGGTCATGGGCCTGAGAGCCCTTGGCCTTCCTCCGGCTGAGGCCAAAGAGATACTACGTGTTCCAGACCATCCCCTCAGCTGGTAGACCAGGGAGCACAGGTGATACAATGGAGAGCATGTAGGTTTAGGGGCCATGGAGAGTCTGGCTTAAATTCCTGCTCAGAGAGAGGTGAGCTTAACGTTTCTGGGCCTCAGTTTTCCTCATCTATAAATTGGGACTAAAAGTGATCTCACAAGAAAATACTGTATGCAAGGAGGTTGGCATTTGAGTATGAGATTTCTGTTCTAACCTGTGTTGTGCAAACTGGGGCCTCTCTGGGCCTCAGGGAGTTGGTGGCAGCTAACTGTGCCAAATAAAACAGTAGGATTTATGTGGACCCATGACTCCAATTTTGCCACCCTGGGGTGAGGGGAAGGCCCTGTGAAACCCCCTCAGGCCACTGTTGGTGAATTGTGCAATTGGATTTTCTGTAGAGAGGCACCCCCTTAGTCTGTTCTGTGAAGTCACAGCAGTGGCTTATTGGTGGTGCAGGGTACCCCATTCTTGAGGCAGACACAGGAGGGGCTGGGAAGAGTTTCCAGGAAGAAAACCATAAATAAGGCTAAAACAGTGCCCGTGCAGCCTGACATCCCTTGGAATCATGGAAAGTAGGCTGCTGTTTTCTCAGCTCGGCCAGTGATTAGTCATCCTGGGTCTCTAGCACCTTCCTTCCAGCATGTTGCTCCTGGCAGCCTTGGAAGGGTTTTGTGGAGGTCTGCCTGCTGAGGCAGGGAGGCTGCCGCAAAGCGCTACCCCACAGAGGACCTGGGCCGAAGAGCAGTGGGAAGGGAGGTCCTGCTTCCTCCATCTGCTCTCAGCCTGGGAGGGTAGGTGTCCGGTTTGGGCTCGGTGGGGGTGGGAACGGGAGACACCCTTGAGCCACTTAGGAGAGGTCCCAAGGCCACCTGTAGCTACTTTCCAGTGAGCAGTGGCTCTCAGAACTCCCCCATAGGTGTGACCCTTTACCCATGTGCCCATGTGCCTCCATGCACACGTGACACTTTAGTGGCAGTGTTTGATTTGGTTTTGGTTAGCACTGCTACATGTGTCCTGAACTGCGATTCAGTTCTGTGGTTGCAGCTTCGGGGCCCCTCCCACTTCTGGGCTTTGACAGACTCCCGTGAACCCTGCAGGCACATGTGAAATCCTCCCAGGGCAAAGTCTGATGCCTGATTGCTCAGCTGCAGAGACTTGGGAGACTGTTGTGTTGGGCGCCTCCCCCCCCCACACACTGCTGCCTGGCCCACAGTGCTGTGTTTCCGGTGTGTTCTGGGTCCTCAGGCTGTGTGTTTGGTGGAGGAGGTGTGGGGAGGGGGAGGTGGGTGCTGATCAGCAGCTCCCTTTCTGTAAATCCTCATTCCCTTGGAGTCACTTTTCTTCTGGAGAACAAAACTCTTTGCTTCCCAGAGAAGGGAAACATGTTGAGAGAGTGGTTTGGTTTCTTGAACACCAAGTACTTGTAGCTGCAACTAACTGAAGCCCAACTCAGTGTAGCCTCAACAGTGAGCGTGTTCCTGGCTGGCTCATGCCAGACTTTGGGGCTGGGTTCGTTTGGTGCCTCTGGCCCCATTTCTCTGTGTTTTCCTACTCTGTCTCTTTAGTGTCCTCACTATGATTCCCTCATAGTGACAGACTGTTGTGGCAGAACGAGACTTCTCCCTTGCTTGCCAGAGGGTAGGTGTCCTGCCAGTGGCTTTCTACTAAGTGTGAGGAAGCATGGTTTCCATAAACCCCTGCAAACCTCCCTTGTGTCTCACCAGGTTGGGCCCCTGTGGCCCCGGGGTGCCCTACACTGACAGGCCTACCCTGAAGCTTGGGGTGGGGTCAGGTTTCCCTGAAACACTCAGGTCTGTGGGATGGACCCCAGATAAATAATGGGCTAGTTTTAGGAGATAAAAGGAAAGAATTGGGGGACAGGCAGCCACCTGCCCTCATACCATACTAGCATATGGTCCCAGAGGTGTTCCGTTTAGTGCCTGGATTTCATCGGTGCAGTCTCCTCCGCAGTGGTGTGGGACTTCCTTCCAGCCCTCCTCCACTTACCCTGGGAGTCCTCATGTGTTTGTCTGCTCTGGTCCTTGCTCAGGTCTGATGCCAGAAGACCCTTCAAGGTGCAGCAAATGCCCCTCTGGCCCTGCTGTTCTCTTGGGCGCCATCCATTTTCCTGCTGCCCAGCCAGGTGCAGCTCTTCCCTGCTGAAGGCGTCATGGNTCTCTGGCCCCAGCTCGGCCCCATGTAGGTTTCATGGGATGGCAGTCAGTGATGGAAGAGACCAGGGCCCTACAGAGAGAGCACTTCGAGACAAACTGCTGTGTCCTCCCTTCTGCAGGGTCTGATGTACCATGATGCCCATCGATGGGGCCTCACACTGCAGACGTACGTGCAGCTCACCATGCTGGACCAGCACACTCGTCCTCAGGTATGTATCAGAAGCTTGTTTTCAACCTTCTTAAACAGTTTTCTTCAAATGAGGGGTAAAGGGTTTCTGGAAAGAGAAACCTCATAAGGAAGCCTCGCTGGGTCTTGAGCACTGCTCAGCCTTCTGTCACTGGGGCTGAAGTTTCCTTTTCTGAGGCTCTCTGGGGTCCAGCCTCCAGTGCCCCCATCCACCAACCTTATCTAGCCAAGAAGAACTTGCTAGGGATGCCACGTCAGCCTGAGTCTTCACAGCCTGTCCACTATTGGGCTAAACACCTTTTAACTGAGTTATTCTCAAAGTGTGGTCTCTGGATGAGGAGCAGAATGCGGGAACTAGTTAGAATTGCACCCTTTCTGGTCCTATCCTTGACCTACCGAATCAGGAAGTCCTGGAGAGGAGGTCCAGCAATCTGTTTCAACCAGCTCTCCAGGTGATTTTAAAGCACCCTTTGTTTGCATATTTGAGAACCACTGACCTAACCTTCACAAGATCTGGTTCTTGGTTCAAATTTTTGATAGAAAGAATTACTCAGGTTGGGTCAGGTGTCCAGCCCTGGGCCAGTCAAGTGTTGGGGCAGATCGCAGGGTGCAAACAGGAATGCTTAGGCCAATGCTTCCATTAGCCTGGGTGTGAATAGGGGAAGAGCTTCTTAGAAGGAAGGCTGGTGAGAAGATCTTGATTGGCACCTGTGGTTCAAGATTGTAAGCACAACCTGAGACCAGCTTTGGAGGCTCTCCATGAAGGAGAAGGGAGATGCCTACAGCCAGTTACGTGGACACAGCCACTCATCTGGGTGGGCACCTGTGATTATAGCTATCATTCCAGAAATCTTCATCTTTTAAAAAAAAAAGAAAGATAAGAGCAGACCATATGAATTTCTATCTCCCCAATATCTGGCTAAGTGATACGAGTCTGGGGATCTGAGGTTGGCACTCTTCCCCTTTGCCCATCCTACTTTTCCTGAGCAAGTGCTCAATTGCAAACCTAATTTGTATCTAATATATCTGGATATAATGGGATACATGTGTGTTGCTCCAAGGACCTATACCATGAAGGAGGCAGAGAGAGAAAGAAACATGGCCAGACTGGGAAAGAGGAACAGAGGAAAGATGGATGAATGGGGAGCTAGCAACAGATGGGCAGCAGATTCATAAGGAGGGGATGGAAAAATTCAAAGGAAGACAGATGGACAGAGAGACAAATGGAGAGAGAGTAAGGAAATTCCTGGGTTCTAGCTTTGAATCTGCCTCTGATTCGCAGGTCCCATGGGTGCTGTGGGCCAGGCTGAGTGAGAGCAGTGTTTGCCCACTTGGTGTCAAGGGTAAGGGACCTTGTTGCTTCCCAATGGGACACTGTGGACAAAGGGAAAGGTCATCTGTGGATGTGTGAACACTGTGACAGAAAGGGTGATGTGAGCAAAATCCTCCTTCCTCTTAGGCACAGTCCTTCCCAGTTTCCAAAGGGCTGCAGTGATCCCCAACCAGCCCCTGTGAGGAGACAGTGAAGTTGGCAGGTCTCACATCCTTGTGGGGTTCCAGAAAGCCAGACCTTCAGGCACTGATGCCAGAATGTCACCTTCACCCAGCCTGCTCAGGGTTCTACCTCAGGCATAAATATCCCTGTGCTTAAGTAAATGCATGCTATTTAGCTCCATAATAATCACCACGCTTCGCACTTGACAACACTTTGCTGGACAGCACTTGTTTTTTTTTTCTAGCAGTTCCACACAATCCAGTTGAGCCCTACCTCTCCTGTGAAGGAGGCTGCTGCTGACAAGTCTTGGCATTGCTGCACTGGCTACTGACCTTCAGGGTATGGGGAGGGTCCTGAGCTGAGGCAGGAACACTGCTGAGCCCACTGTCCCCTAGGTGCTTCTCCTCTGGTGACTATTTCACTCTCCCTCAGCTTCTTGATTATTGTATCCAGTGTAGACCACAGGCAGGGGAAGCAACAGGCATTCTTCAAGGCTTCCTGACCTCCTCCTTATTGCCTGAGTTAGTGAATCACTTTTTGTTTTCTTTCAGACATCACCTGTACGATTGATGGAGCGGTCGATTCACAGTGCAAGATATGTTTTTGTAGAAAACCTGTATAGAAGGTACTCTAGTTTGCAGAATTGATAATCTATTAACTTTTAATTTTTAAGAAATGAAATTGGAACTTGTCTACTCAGTTGACGGATATGGAGCAGCTACTGTGTTGTATCAGTTACCTGTTGCCACAGTAATGCTGTGTAACAAACAACCTCAAAGCTTCAGTGGCGGATAGTTCTCTGCATTGATTGTTCAGTCATCTAGGGTGGTCAGCCTGGCAGCTCTTTGGCCTGATGATATGTCTGGGGGTCGGCCGATTTAGGATGGCCCCTAGCAAGGGTGACTGAGGTGACTCATCTGCATGCTTCTCATCCTCCTCAAAGGACCAGCAGGCCAGCCTGGGCATTCACTTCTCATGGTGATGGCAGAGGGCAAAAGCACCAGTGGAATGCATGAGCACTTTCAGGCCTCAGCTTCACATTTGCTAACATCCCATTGGCCAAAGCAGGTCCTACACACCGACCCCAGCCTGAGAGGTGGGAGGCCTTTGGTGGGTTACATGACCAAGTGGGAGCATCTAGAGAAGGGGGAAGATCCGGAGCAACTATTGGTCAGTCTGGCATGGTGTGTACAATGTTTGTTATCATTGCACTCAAAACTGTCTTCTGCTCTCATGGGTGCATACTCGGTCATATAGACATTTTGGGGGCCTCTGGTGGCTCATAGAGCTGAGGGCTCAGGCATGGGGCCCTTCATTTCTGTGTTCTCTTGACTGCTGATTTTTAGGGGTCATGGGGAAATGGGCTGCAGGCCTGGTTCTGAAACTTCAGCTTCTTGCACACCCCTCCCTCCTTGGTACCTCTGTATCCGGTCCCCCTCTCCTTGGCAGCCCCACATTACTGCTTCTTCCTGTGTTGAGCTTTGGGGTGTGGCTGTCACTCCCTTGCAGAGCTGGTCTTGATATTTGCCTTCCTCTCTTCACATACTGGCTGCCTGTTCCCTCTCACCTGCAGCTGTCATCCTAAATGCCACCTGTCCTGACCCTCCCCAGCCACCCTGTCTAGAGGAGTTGAGCCCCTTGTTATTCTTGGTTACTTAGTTCTCTTGGTTTTCTTCATAGTATTTAAGACAACTAATTAGGCTGAACCTTATGAAATTGTTAATATTTGACCAATTTTGACTTACAAAAATGGCAGTTTCACATGGTTCAACTTAGTGTTTATTTGTTTAGTTATCTATTTTGTGTCTTTCAACTGGACCATAAGCCCCTTGAGTATAGGGACCACGTTTACTAGTGGTCTCTGCACGGAGCTGGCACCTGGTCAGTACTACTGGGCAAGAGGACCTCTAGTCATTCTTTGGTCTCCAGCCAGACATGTTCCCCTGGTTCTGGCCCCAGCTGTTCCACACCCCTTCCTTTGATGGGGCCACTGAAAAGGCTGGGTGCGAGTTGCTGCTGTCCCTTTGGGGTTGGGGTTGATCCTTTTAACCAGAAGCCTTTGCAGCTATGGCTTGGGATCTGGGGGGGTCCCCAAGAAAATGCTGCAGGCATGGCCACATACGAGAATTCTCCATCCCCCAGAGCACAGTTTCTCATAGGATGTTCTTGCCTTTAGGGCCTTGAATAGCGAGGAGTTCTAGGGATAAACCCACCTCTTCCGGGCCTTTCACCCCAGCAAGTTTGGGGTGGGCAGGATGTAAGTACAATTATTCCACCATGCATTGGAGAGGGTGTGTTAATTGCTGAAGAGGAAGATTCTGGTTGTGTGTTCTCCTTAAAGACAGGAACTTCTGAGGTGTGGGCACTGTACTAAAATGAAAAGCTGAAAAGGTGGCAAGAACGACACGTAGCTGAAGCGGCCACACAAGCAATTGTATGGCCCCTGCCCTGTGGGCTGAATAATTAAATGCATAGATTTCACAAGATTGCCTGGTTGGTGTTTTCCAAGAACAGAAGCAAGGAAATTGAGTGCGGCCCAGCTGGGGTAATGACATGCTGACTCATGTGGGGTTGGTGGTCGGGGGCATTGATTAAGACCCTGTATTTGGAACAACAGGCAGGTCTCCTACCTCCTTGACTGGCCCCTGGGGCCTGGACTCCTCCCCTGTTCTGGTCCAGACTTGTGGCTCACAGCCTGGGTCATGGGCCTGAGAGCCCTTGGCCTTCCTCCGGCTGAGGCCAAAGAGATACTACGTGTTCCAGACCATCCCCTCAGCTGGTAGACCAGGGAGCACAGGTGATACAATGGAGAGCGCGTAGGTTTAGGGGCCATGGAGAGTCTGGCTTAAATTCCTGCTCAGAGAGAGGTGAGCTTAACGTTTCTGGGCCTCAGTTTTCCTCATCTATAAATTGAGACTAAAAGTGACCTCACAAGAAAATACTGTATGCAAGGAGGTTGGCATTTGAGTATGAGATTTCTGTTCTAACCTGTGTTGTGCAAACTGGGGCCTCTCTGGGCCTCAGGGAGTTGGTGGCAGCTAAGTGTGCCAAATAAAACAGTAGGATTTATGTGGACCCATGACTCCAATTTTGCCACCCTGGGGTGAGGGGAAGGCCCTGTGAAACCCCCTCAGGCCACTGTTGGTGAATTGTGCAATTGGATTTTCTGTAGATAGGCACCCCCTTAGTCTGTTCTGTGAAGTCACAGCAGTGGCTTATTGGTGGTGCAGGGTACCCCGTTCTTGAGGCAGACACAGGAGGGGCTGGGAAGAGTTTCCAGGAAGAAAACCATAAATAAGGCTAAAACAGTGCCCGTGCAGCCTGACATCCCTTGGAATCATGGAAAGTAGGCTGCTGTTTTCTCAGCTCGGCCAGTGATTAGTCATCCTGGGTCTCTAGCACCTTCCTTCCAGCATGTTGCTCCTGGCAGCCTTGGAAGGGTTTTGTGGAGGTCTGCCTGCTGAGGCAGGGAGGCTGCCGCAAAGCGCTACCCCACAGAGGACCTGGGCCGAAGAGCAGTGGGAAGG